GGGATGAAATATGCTAATTTTTTGGGACAGGCATTTTGGGTTTTCATGAGCTGTATGCCATAATCATCAGTATTAAAACAATTAAAGACCTGTAATATTTCAGTTGGTGTGCAATGAATCTGAAAAATATGAAAGTTTCATTTTTATCATTACATTATGGAAAATAATGACCTTTATCACAATATGCTATTTTTTTAGAAGGACCTGTGTATATATATATATATATATATATATATATATATATATATATATATATATATATATATATATATATAACAGAAATCATAGTTATTCATTTGACAAAATTAACTTAACATGATGCTGTGCAGTATTATATAAAAACTAAAAAAAACAAGGGTTCATTTTACTGAAATTACTTTATTTAGTAAAGTATTCAGTCTCAAAGTATAAAAATAAAAATGACCCTTCTGTTATTTAGATTGAAAACATCTGCACAAAATATAGATCAATAAATCCACCACAAAAACTAAAGTGCAGGTGAAGTTTCCCAAAAGAACTAAATAAAATGAAGCTTAAGATCTGTTGAGCATAAATGTAACATACAACAAAATATGTTGCCTTTAAATGAGCTATAACTTCCAGAACTTGTAACAAGGTGATCAGCTGACCCTGAAGCTTGTGGTGTTTCAGCTTCCTCTGTTCCTGCAGGGATGATTCATTTCTCTGATGCTCTGTCTTTGATCATCTGACTCTGTTCTTGGTCCATGGACTGTGGAACTCAAGAGGCAGTTGAGCTGCGCGTGTTTGTACCAACAGTTTAGAGCAGGGAAGACCTGCACCAGCAGCCCAGAGCGTGGTGCGGAGAAAGAAAAAAAGACTAGCTGCATTTGTACCAGCAGCTTAGAGCAGTGTGTGGGGGAAGGGAGATACGTAGAGCTGTCTGTACCTGCAGTTTAGAGTTGGATGGAGAGACAGCTGAGCCGCGCATTGTTTGTTTTTAGCTTTTTAGCTAGCTAGTATTGCGCGCAACTAATTACCGGTAGCGTTACGCCAGTACCGACAGGTGGAGGGGGGTGCGCAGTTGGGTTTGGTCGTTCGGCAGGTGCTTTACAGTTTCTCACTCCCCCATTCACTCATGGCTTTCTGTTCTATATACTGGATTACACTCTTTACAAAGCACTTTTTATATCTCACTCATTAAGAGCGCACAAATACAATATTTTTTTCAAATAGAGTACAAGTGCCGGTACACACATTTGAGTACGTGCCAATACTGAGTACTGATACAAGTACTAATCAGTTATGTAGAATCAGGTGAGGCACAAAAGAGAGAGAAATAATAAAAAAAAACAACAACAACACACCAGTAAAATAAAGCAAATATTGATATTCTTTATGTGTGTTAGAAATGTTCTTTCTCAAAGATTTCTCCCTCTTTGTAGCCAATGAAACATTTGTAAGCACTTTTGCATTGTATTTTCTATCTTGGGTTCTTTTTAAAACCATAAACTCCATTTTATCTGTGCCTCAGTCTGCCAGCATGGAGGCCTCTGTAGACACTGGTAACGATTTTATCAGGTATTTTGTTGAAAAGTCTGAGGTGACAGGTCTTTGATTCCTCATTCCACAGCTGACCCCTCTCTCTTTGTTCCTTGCTTAGCTGCCTTCAGCCAGTTTGAGCCCATTTCCCTCTCATCTTTAAAGGATGTTGCTGGTCATATGAACCCCTCAGGTTTCTGTGCTGCCCTCATCCCTGCATAGTTTTTTAGAGAAGTTCTACCCTCGGTTGGACCATCTGTTCTAACTATTATAAACAGCAGTATTGATATAAATGTGGCCCTCATTGTTTTTAAACATGCAGTAGTAACTCCATTAATTAAAAAAATCTGGACCCTTTAGTTTCTTCAGCTTTCAGACCAATCTCAAAACGTCCCTTTCTTTCTAAAATCTTGGAGAAAATAATTTTTATTCAATTAAATGAGTTTTTGAATGAGAATGGGATTTTTGAGATCTGTCAGTCTGGTTTTCAACAATTACACAACACCGAAACAGCTTTAGTAAGGGTTTGTAAAAATGTTCTTTTACCAAATGACTCTGGTCAGTTTGTGATTCTTGAACTCCTGGACCTTACTTCTGCTTTTGACACTGCTGACCACAGTATCCTTATATCATGGTTAGAACACTGGGTTGGGATTACTGGTGCAGCATTAGAATGGTTCCATTCTTATCCGAGTGACAGGAGCTTTTGTGTTAATGTTGGCGTTTCAGCGCCTCTTTTCTGTGAGGTTCCACAGGGCTTGATTCTTGGGCCACTTTGGTTTTTATTGTACCTCCTTCCTTTGGGGTCTATTGTCAGGGAATTTTGGTCAAGGTTTATGGATGTTTTTAACTACTATGGGAAAAATGTGAACTGCCCACAAACAGTACATTTCAGTAGCAGGGAGAGCTGGGTGAGGAGCTGATTTGAGGCTGCAGGCGTGCAGCTGTTGCTTCAAGGTCTAAGATATAAATACAAGCTTTGCACACTGCCCGTGGCAAATTCTCATGACTGGGCTCCATGCATGTAAAGCTTCTCAACATCTGTGTAACCTGTTGTGAAAGTTTGCCCTTACAACTAGTTAAAAATCTTCTGTTGTCGAGTGCGGTTTGAGTAAGTCAGATGAACAGAGGATATTTTTATCCAACATTTATTCTGAGGAAACATAGTCTTTCTTTTAATTATGTTGATGATTGTCAGATTTATCTGCCCTTAAAACCCAATAGTTCTTGCTCCATTCACCCTCTGTTAAAATGTCTTGATGACATTAAGGCTTGAATGACGTCAGATTATTCAAGTTTTATCAATAAGAAAACTGAAGTTGTGTTTAGCCATAGCTCTACTCCAGGCATGTTTCCTGTAAACCTAGGCTCTCTTGAGCCATATCATAAGTAGTCTGTTACGAATGTGGGGATGATCGTAGACTCTGATTTTAAGTTGAATACACAGAATAACTGTTTTGCAGAAAAGCTTCTTCCAGTTAAGGCAGATAGCTAAGCTTAAGTCAGAGTTGACCAGACCTGACCTTGAGAAGATAGTCCATGCCTTCATTACAACCCGACTTGATTACAGTAATGCACTTTATGTTGGGGTCAGCCAGGTGTCACTTTCACAACTCCAACTTGTCCAAAATGCTGTAGATCAGCTTTCAACAGGAATTTATAGGTTTGAGCACATTTCCCAGTTTTACCCTCCCTTCACTGGTTTCCTATGCATTACAGAATAGACTTAAAAATTATCCTGTTGACCTTTAAGTGCCTAAATGTCCTTGCACCCTCAAATCTCTCCAACCTACTTAAACCATATGTTCCTTCTCAGACACCGAGAACATCTGATCAGCTGTTTTTGGTTATCCAAAAACCAAGTTGAATGTGAAACCAAGTGAAGCTCAGAGAAGATCAGACTTTTCAGTTTAGGCTCCTAAACTTTGGAACAATCTGCCCCCCCCCCCCCAACCACCACCATCAGACAGGCCTCTTCACTTCCTGTTTTTAAATCTCTTTTACAAACCATGTATTTTTTTCTGATTTTTAACCTAGTGCGAGTCATTTTACCATTTTATTGTTCTGTGTTCAGGCAGCACAGTGGCACAGAGCTGCCACCTCTCAGTGAGAAGGTTGTTGGATGGAGCCAGGGTGCCATTCTGTGTGGAGTTTGCATGCACTCTCCGTGTATGCATAGGTTTTCTCCGGGTACTCCAGTTTCCTCCCACAGCCCAAAAATCTCCAGCAGTCACTGTGTGAGAGGTGGGGGACACCCTGGACAGGTCTCCAGTCCATCACAGGGACAAACAGAGAAAACTAACCATTCACTCTCTCACTCACACCTTGGGACAGGGGTCGCTAGGGCTGGGCCATGCCATATCGTTCACGATAATACTGGTAAAAAAAAAACTTGCGCAGCTTGGTTCAGTAGACTGTGCGCTCGGTTCTGTTGACGTGGCAGGGCACCACACTTGTATGATGGCAGGGGAAACAGTGAATGCATCAACCACCGATTTATGGTCAAGTCTGACCGCGGAGCCACCTGAGTCTGACTGTGCACCAACAGCGACTGGGAATTGTGCAGCTCAAACCTCGAGACCAGCTGCTTTTCTGAGGATCAGGTAATTGGCTGATGGTTCTGATCAGCAGTTCTTTCAGACAGCATTTAATTTGTTTTCAGTATCTGTCACATTTTTTGGAAGTTATGGCTCATTTAAAGGCAACATATTTTTTGTTGTATGTTACATTAACGTTCAAAAGATTTTAAGCTTTAATTTAAGTTTGTTTTTTGGGAACTGCACCTGCACTTTAGTTTTTGTGGTAGATTTTGTTGATCTATATTTTGTGCAGACTTTTTCAATCTAAATAACAGAAGGATCATTTTTTATTTTTATACTTTGAGACTGAATACTTTAATTAATAAATTAATTGCAGTAAAATTAACCCGTTTTTTTGTTTTTATATAATACTGCAAAGCAACAAGTTCATTTTTTTCAAATGAATATCTATGATTTCTGTTTTTTTTTTGTTATATCACAAAATTTATCATCATCGTCAGAATTCTCTGAAATATTACAATATCATATTTGAGCCATATCGTCCACCCCTAGGGGTCGCCACAGCAAACTAACTCCCATGAAGACGTGGCAATTATTTTTTACACCGGATGTCCTTTCTGACACAACCAGACCACTGAGCTACTACAGCCCTCTGTGTGGAGCAGAGAGCTGCTATCTAGGGCGCCCGGGGGACAAGATGGTGGTGGGGGTTAAGGATCTTGCTCAAGGGCGCAGAGTGGGGCAAATGAGGGTTGAGGCAGATGTGGGTGTTTCACCTTTTACACCCACATTTTGATGTTGCCGGTCTGGGGAGTCAAACCAGTGACCTTCCGATCACAGGCCCAACTTGTCTAACCTCAGTGCCACCACTCCCCAGACTAATTAGAATTTTAAACAATTAATAAAACATCAGTCCTAATAATGTGATTTGTTTAATCGTTCCTAGCTGCAGACAGGTACCCTGACGAAGAGGACTGGCAGCCATGATGGGTGGATCAGAACATGCAGCTGCAGCTGCACTGATGTTTCTGGTTACACACCGGACCAACACATGGATTCCAGGTAGGTAACTGACTAGCCTGGTTCTGTGGCTCAGCAACTGCAGGTGAAACAGAAGAAAAAGAAACAGAAGAAAAATAATTAAATAAACCAGAAAACCAAGTTTGATCAATTTCCTAAAATGTTTTATATTTTAAATTGACTGTAAAACCATAATGTTCTTTGATATTGTAATGTCAAAAATCTGTGGGGAAAATCTAAGCCTTCAGGAATTAAGCCTTAAATTTACCAGAACAAAAAATACAGACTTTTACAGGGACTTATAAATAATACATTTAAGAAAAAAAGATAAACGTGAAAATAAAAATAAAAAACAAACAGTACGCTGATGTCCACCACGGCTGAATGGTTTAAACAAAGAATGTTTGTAGTTTTTGAGATGAGTGTGTTTCTGTACTGGAATTGAACAGAGTAAACTTTAACATTTTAGTGGGAAACATTCAAGTGGGCAGAAGTTACACTGTGTGGAGGAACAGAGGGAGGTTTGTTGTTTGTTCCAGGCAGTGCAGTGACAGATCCTGACGAGTGGAGGGAGCAGTTAATCCTCCACCAGGTGAAACGACCAAGTCAGGGGCGGGACCAACTTTATGTTCGGCCACCCCAGTCATTTGAGGAAACTATACTTTTGAGCAATATAAAAACTAGAAAGCAAAGTTTCCTCAAAAGACTGGGTTGGTAGGTCTACATGAATTATGACAGTGGCCATCTTGGATTTTGACGTGTCAACCCAGTTTTCAATAGTTCATTCATTTATTCAACCTTTATTTAGATGGGTCCCATTGAGCCTCGAGGACTCATTTACAAGAGACCGGATTAGTGACCTTTCTTATGTCTGTTGTCTAAATTGGAAGTCAGTACTTCACTTATCTTTCAAGTTATCATGCTCACAACATGCTTGGATGGATGTGCGGCTGAACGGAGGCCGTACTTCCAATTCCCCCTTTTTGAACAATAAAAGTGAAACTAAGATTTTAAACATGATGCTCACAACACTTTGGATGGTTGTTGGTCTCTGTGAGCTCCTGATAAAATATGCATTTCAGTTCTGGCCTAGAACAGAGTTTGTGCTGAGTGTTTTTTTCTTTTCGTGTCAAAACCAGAACTCGCACAGGAAACAGAAAGAGCTGGGCTGAGGAAGCTCTACTGGGAGATCTGACTGATACACATCAACGGGAGCGGGGGGGTATTTCTTCCTTGTCGGCAACAATTCTTCTTGTCAGCAACAATTCCGTTGTAAATATTACAAAATTATATAATCCATGTTTATTACTGTCGTGTTTCACTTTGGTTGAACCAGCACTTTGGTTGGCCTTGTAGCTGTTTTAAGTGCTCTATAAATAAAGTGGTATGGTATGGGTTCATTTAGTGTAATATTTCAGCTGTACAATCACCTGGACTGAAGGTGTTTAGTTTAAAAGTAAAGGAACTGAAAATATTCAGTTTGTTAGAAACAAAACTGCTGTTCACCTGACTCACATAGGCCATCCAGCTACGTCCCAGGTCACCTGCAGAGGTCAGAGGTCAGGAACTCACCTGCAAGAACAGGTGCAAGCATGACGTAAGGATTCAGTTTAACTTGGACTTTCAACACATTTCAAAACACGTAGTGGAGGAGTCAGCTACTACCACATCCAACTTCACATGTGGAAAACTGCGAGTCACAGCAATTAAAGTTTTCTATAACCAGTTAGCTGTGGCAGCCATCTTGTGTCAGACTGACTAAAATGTCATCATCACCTGTAGGTGTTCATCCAATGTCCACTGTCTGAGAGTTTTATTCAAATTAGTCCAAGGGATCATGAAACATTTTACTGACAAACACACGCTCAGAGGAACAAAAACATCATCGCCCTTTCTCCCATGACAGTGAGTAATAAGGACATAATAACCAAATAAACACATAAAAATAAAACGATGCAGAGATAAAAACAAAAAATTCTCACATTGAATTAAAAACCCGTGAGCGGCTTTATGAGACATAAAATCCAGTCAGACCCTAGAGGATATTAGTTGTGTAAAGTTGACCCAACAGACCGATCATTTCATGTTTCACCTGACGAAACGCAGCAGATCTTCTGCTTGTTGTTGAAGGACGACAAACAGCAGCTCTTGCGTTTACAGCCGCAGGTGTTTAAATCGCCCAAATGACAGGAACAAAACACAAATCAAAGTATTTCTTCTTCTTGCACAGAGATGAACCTAAACTATTAATTTTGATCTTTTGCAGGTCTATACTCAGGCACTCTCACCCGGACTAATCTGCACATGCGCGATAGCGCTCGGAGTTGAGCTTCACAAACAGCTTGTGTTCACTACCGCCCCCTCTGGTGGGGAGCTGAATGACACATGAATGACTTTTACACAAAAATAAACTAATAATAAAAAAGTTTACTATTTTTCAAAGAACAAAATTTAAATTAAAAATTTCATACCCTCTCGTCCATCAAGATAATAAATAAAATATTAGTTGGGATTTGTGTGCATTAATACTGTATCCAACATTTTTCAGTCAGGTCATCTGGACAGTTTCTCTTTTTTTGTGCTGAAACATTTCGCCTTCGATCTGGAAGGCTTCATCAGTCAAGGAAACACACAACAAAACTGGTTCTTCCCCCAACATCTTACTCCAAAGTACTGGTTTGTTCCACTTTGGAGTAAAATGTTGGGGGAAGAATCAGTTTTGTTGTGTTTCCTTGACTGATGAAGCTTTCCGGATCGAAGGCGAAACGTTTCAGCACAAAAAAACAAACAAAAAAAACAAAAAAAAACAGTCCAGATGACCTGACTGAAAAATGTTGGATTGTATACCTGGATTACTGAGCATGGACTTTATTATTAATACTGTATACACCCCCCCCCCCCATTTTTTTTCATTTAACCTTTATTTATACAGGTAGTCTCATTGAGTCACGAGAACTCATTTTCAAGAGAGACCTGTTTTTGGGAGCAGATGGTGGGGGTTAAGGACCTTGCTTCAGGGACCCAGAGTGGGGCAAATGAGGGTGGAGGCAGGTGAGGGTGTTTTACCTTTTCCACACACATTTTTATGTTGACAGTATCAGGAGTTGAACCAACAACCTTCCAATCACAGGCCCATCTTTTCTAACCTCTGCGCCACCACTCCCCTATATAAAGCAAAACAAAGAAAGATTAAAATTTGTTTCCAAGAGATTACAGAAAAAATTGGTAAAGTGTCAATGCAGAGCTGATTGTCAATGTCAACTTCTTTTCATTAATTATAAATTTGTTATTTAAAACTATCTAGACCCAGAATTCAGAACAAGTTAGTTTATTCTAACTTTTTATTTATAACATGGGAGGAGACCCCTGATGCGAGTAAAATTTCACATCAGGTGTGTGATGTTATAAAAATCGTGTGTAAGGAGTTTCAAGTCATGCTAAGAGTTTTGGGCCCTTTTTACACACCACGTTTGAGTGAAACCAGAGCTTTTTTTGCTGCCATGCATGTATACAGCAGCAGCCCTCTTTCTCTCTGAAACCAAATGTGTCTGAATCCTGGTTTCAGAGGGAACCCGCTGCAGAGGTGATCAAAACGTGTTAAGTCACATACCACAAGCAGCTGCAGTCGAAAGTTTTTCTACTCTAACATCGGTTACAATAAATGGCAGAGTAGTGTCTTATGTGCACTACTCAACTTTTTTCAGCATGTAAGAGAAAACCAACATGGTCCAAAGGAACGTTCTTGTACTCACCATTTTAGAGGTAACTGTGATCATGCAGACACTGCAGGTGATGCATGCAGTTGAGCATCAGGTTTGACAGATAACCATGTTCTTTGTCCTCTTTTCTGTGCACACGATCACCAAACATCTCATCTTATGGCATGCTCACTCAGCACATATAAGTTTGGGTCAAAGTGACAGTAGTTTTTCATTTCCTATTTGGCATATCTGCCTAGCATGGAAAGTAGTGTATCTATGTAAACTGGCTTTTTAAAAGTTAAATAAACAAAAAAGATAAATATTGAAAAACCGCTAACGCTCCAGAGGTCACTCTTGTGTAAACAGGGCCTTAGTTATTGTGGGAGGGGTCCCAGCACTCCTCTGAGAGGAACTCCTGTAATATCAAGTCATGCAGGGGGAGTTTTCAGGAGTATTTTGGGAGGAATTTCCTACTCATCATCTGTTTCCTTTTTTAATAGAGCCACAGAATCAGGTACAAAATGTAAGGTTGTAAAACGATCCAGTTGTGAGCATCTGTTGTCTAAAAATATACTCCATGGTTTCGATTGGTTAAGATTAAGGGATGCATCTTCAAACATGTTTGTGCTTTGGAAAGCCGTAAATGCAAATACAGATTCTATAAATGTGGTTTAATTATCAGATATACTAACAGTAATAATAATTTTCATCAGATTTAATATCAGGGTTCCTATAGCTAGCTGCTAGCTTTGTTCAGCTTGGCTGTGGAAGTGAGTGGTTCTGACATATTCAAACCAGGAAAATATTACAAGCTGTGGAAATACATTAAAATCTCACACTAAAATAACTTTATCTGACATGAGGACGAGATGGGTTGAAAAGTCTACACAATCATTAAAAAAACATTTTCCTGTATTCTCTATTCCATCCTTGTCTAGACCTGGAAAATATTAAAACCTAACTACAGATTTTTCTCGAGTGCTAGACAGTTTTTTGTCATTATGGCAAAAACACAAAACACTTCACTAGATGAAGAACTTAACAGAAACAGAAACCTGAGTAGGAAGAGAAATAATGACTTTTTTTATTGTTGATGATGAACAAATGTGAAAACCTCAGAAACATGAAGGCACATAGAAGATGGATGCAGTAAGAAACCTTAAAAAGATTTTACTTTCCAGGAGTCCTGAGGTTATTTACAAAGATCAGAAAATGCACAACTATTAAATATTTAAATAATATTAATTACATTTTGTTGGTTCTGTCAAAAATAGTCCTATAAAGTTATTTGAAGGTGTAAAATGTTATCAGATGGTTCAGTTTGAGCTCAACGGATGAGCTCCGACAAATCCTGTACAGGTAAAGGGCAGCTTCTGAGGAGGAAACTTGAAATCTTTATATTTGTAAATGGATCATTCTGCTGAAATGATCGTTCAGCATTTGTTGAAAATCAACTCTCTTCCAGAAGCTAGAGAAGGTCAGTAGCACAGAACACGTCCACCAGTGTTTAGGTACTGATCCGAGTCGTCACTGGCCAGGAAGAACCACCTGTCTCTGATGAATCAACTCAAACTCCTTCTTGTACCAGTCAGGAGCCTCTGGACCGTTTTGTCCCATCGACTCGTGATCATAATCGTAGGAAACCGTGAGCTCCTCATCCTTCTGCACAGCCCTCAGTGTACGAATGCATTTGATTGGCCCAAAACGAGGATGGACAAACCTGGACAGACAAACAGAAACGTATAGAGGACAGTCACTCAAAAGGTTCTTCAGTTTACCACCAGGTTTCACGCTGAGCCAGAACACCTCAGACCAAGACCAGGCTTGAGCCAACAGGGTCATTAGCTATGTTTACATGTGCAAAATTCTTTGTGGGGATTGTAATGTTTTCAGATTAAATCATTCAAATGTATCCTCTACATGGGCACAATCCGTTCACAACGAGCGTTTACATGCAGTGGGCTTTGTTCTGAACAGAAGTACTGACATGCGCAGAGTGTCTTTAAAAAAAGAAATCACAGAAAAATTTCTACTTCTGGGATGAACATAAACAAACCTGAGCGCCCAAAATGGATCCGTGACAGGTTTTAATGATGGTGGAGACGTTACTGCACTCCCTGACTGAGCTGCAGGTAATACAGATCATTTTGAGCTCTTTCAAAGTTTCTAGTAGAAATGTTGTGTCGCTCACCGAGCATTTTTACTTCCCCGCCATGCTAATATTATTAGCATTAGCCAGGCGGAAATGCATGAGGTTGACAGGTCGCACATGCGCAGTCAGGTCAGTTTTCCATGATCGGAATAAAATGATCAGATTAAGTGTTTACATTAACACTATTCGGATTATGAAAAGGCATAAACCACCTGTTTCATTCGGATTACAAATTAATTCGGATCAAGCTGAATCAACAAAGAATAATCCGAATGGGGTGTTTACATGACACATTTTTATTCCAAATGGCTGTTTAATCCGATTACTTTTGTCCATGTAAATATAGCTTGTGTTAGAATGTAATCTGATTACTCTCCTTGTGAGAGGCTTTTTTACTGCACAGTATAGGATTTTTTGTTTTTTAAGTAAAATCTTACCCCTCCCTGGGCTGCCACCTTACCGTGGTGGAGGGGTTTGAGTGTCCCAATGATCCTAGGAGCTATGCTGTCAGGGGCTTTATGCCCCTAGTAGGGTCACCCATGGCAGACAGGTCCTAGGTGAGGGACCAGACAAAGTGCAGCCCAAAGACCCCGATGATGACACAAATAAATGGACCTAGTGTTCCCTTGCCTGGACGTGGGTCACCGGGGCCCCACTCTGGAGCCAGGCCTGGAGGTGGGGCACGCGGGCGAGCGCCTGGTGGCCGGGCTTTTACCCATGGAGCTCGGCCAGGCACAGCCTGAAGAGGAGACGTGGGTCCCCCTTCCCATGGGCTCACCACCAGTGGGAGGGGCCAAAGGGGTCGGGTGCAATGTGGGATGGGTGGTGGCCGAGGGCGGGGACCCTGGCGGTCTGATCCTCGGCTACAGAAGCTGGCTATTGGGACATGGAATGTCACCTCACTGGTGGGGAAGGAGCCTGAGCTGGTGTGTGAGGCTGAGAGGTTCCGGCTAGAAATAGTCGGACTCACCTCTATGCATGGTTCGGGCTCTGGAACCAGTTTCCTTGAGAGGGGCTGGACACTCTTCCACTCTGGAGTTGCCCCTGGTGAGAGGCGCCGAGCAGGCGTGGGCGTACTTATTGCCCCCCATCTTGGTGCCTGTGTATTGGGGTTCACCTCAGTGAATGAGAGGGTGGCCTCCCTCCGCCTGCGTGTGGGGGGACGGGTTCTGACTGTCATTTGTGCTTATGCACCAAACGGCAGTTCAGATTATCCACCCTTTCTGGAGTCCTTGGAAGGGGTACTGGAAAGTGCACCTCCTAGGAACTCCCTTGTTCTGCTGGGGGACTTCAATGCTCATGTGGGCAATGACAGTGAGACCTGGAGGGGTGTGGTTGGGAGGAACGGCCCCCCTGATCTGAACCAGAGTGGTGTTCTGTTGTTGGACTTCTGTGCTCGTCATGGATTGTCAATAACGAACACCTTGTTCAAGCATAAGGGTG